AAAGAACAAGATTTATATAAATAAACATAAATTTCATTAATTATTATGTGGGTAATTTAAGAGTTTTAGTTTAGTATACATATTGCTTAGCAGCAGCTTAAAGCATATCCATAAAAAGCTGCGGTCATAAAAAAAGTAGTACAAACAAATTTAGTAGCTTACTAACTAAATATAGACATCTAAATTAGTAAGAAATTGTTTCAGTTTGAGTACTACAATAAATTTTTTAATAATTTTTTTCGACTGCTGTTGTATTTAGAATGCAATTAGTCAACATTTAATAAAAGCTTTTTACTATTAACAAAAAATATACATTTAAGATATAATGTTTGCATAAATCTCAGTTTTGTATAAAGCCAAGGCCAAGACATATTTGAGGAAATGTATCTGTGGCTAGCAAAGCACTGAGGGGCAGGTTCCAGCTGGTTGTCTTCACATTGCCATAAACTAGAAATATCGCCTGAACGGCTGAGCATAGATGAAATGATGACAATTAAAACGCAATTGCATGTTTAAGTACTTGATTCAATGTTTCTAGGTTCCAATTATTTGCGCAAAAATAACCTTGGTACGGCTGACTGTACATGTGTGTGTGTGTGTGTGTGTGTGTGTGTGTGTGTGTGTGTGTGTGTTTGTGTGGCTCATTTATTTTGGCTTGGTTGGCAATTAGCTAAATTAGCAGGCTGCACACATATGCACAGACGTGACACGACTGGCAGGCGTGGCAATTAAGTAAATAATTTGATTATCGTCTCTTCGCAGGGACGTCATCTACAATATCACACTGCGGGGACTGAAGGAGACCAGCCGACTGGAGTGGCGCAGCTCGGGCGCCGATCGTGAGCTGTGCGTGCTGAAGGGCAAACACGAATGGGATTGTCACAACTATTTGCGTGTGTTCGCCCGACTGCCCAATGGCCAAATTCTGCTCTGCGGCACCAATTCGTATAAGCCACGCTGTCGTCACTACACCACCGTGGATCAGGCGGCAGAGGGAACTGAGGCGGGAGCGGGAGCGGGCAGCGGCAACAGCATGCTGTACGAGATAACGCGAGATGTGGAGGCTCAGGGTCTCTGCCCGTACAGTCCCGCCCACAACAGCACCTATGTGTTTGCCGATGGCCAGCTGTACAGCGCCACGGTTGCCGATTTCTCTGGCGGGGATCCATTGATCTATCGCGAGAATCTGCGCACCGAGCAATACGATCTCAAGCAGCTCAATCAGCCAGACTTTGTGGGCGCCATTGAGCGCAACGGCTTTGTGCTGTTCTTCTTCCGTGAACTGTCCATGGAGTACATGAACTTTGGCAAGGCGGTCTATTCCCGGGTGGGTCGCGTCTGCAAGAACGATCGCGGTGGACCCTACAATCATGCCAAGAGCTGGACGTCATTCTTGAAAACACGACTCAACTGCTCGGTGCCTGGCGAGTTTCCATTCTACTTTGATGAGATACGTAAGTGCCGAAATGCTAATACGCCCACTCTGTACAGATTGATATGACATCATCGTTTGACTCTCATTGTTTTTACCCAAACAGAGGCTATAAGTCCGGTTGTGGAGAGCGGCCCCAATGCGTTGGTTTACGCAGTGTTTACCACACCGGTGAACGCCATACCCGGCTCGGCGGTCTGTGCCTATCGCGTGGATGACATATTGGCTGCCTTTGATGGGGCCTTCAAATCGCAGAAGGACTCCCAATCGCACTGGCTGCCAGTGGAGCAAACGCAGGTGCCTAAGCCACGGCCCGGCCAGTGTGTGGAGGACTCTCGCACTCTGACAAGCATTGCAGTGAACTTCATTAAGAATCATCCACTAATGGAGAGCGCTGTGCCTGCTGTGCATGGCCGTCCGCTGCTCACCAAGGTCAATCTGCACCATCGGCTGACGGCCATTGCGGTGGACCCGCAAGTGCGTGCATTGAATGGCAACTATTACGATGTTATCTATAGTGGCACCGATGACGGCAAGGTGACCAAGTTCATCAACATCGTGACATCGCATCAGAACAGCAGCGTCGATCGCTTGCGTACGGTGGTCATCTCTGAAATGCAGGTGCTGCCGCTTGGCACACCTGTCCGCGAGCTGGTTATCTCTTCTAAGAAGAACACGCTCGTCGTGGTCAGCGATGGACGACTGGTAACGGTGCCCCTGCATCACTGCTCATTGATTGTGGACTGCCTGGGCTGCCTCAGCCTGCAGGACCCGAACTGTGCCTGGGATCTACAGACTCACGAGTGCAAGAATCTGGCCGCCAGCCAACACAAGTTCGGCACCAAGACCTATCTGCAAAGTCTGAATACAACCAAAAAGGCGGCTGCGTTCCTGTGCCCGAAAACAGCCGCAGATCCCGTCATTGTCACCATGGCGCCCTCGCAAATGGAGGAGGTGCAAAAACTGCACTATGCCAGTGTAAGTGGCACGCCTGCAGAGGTGCAACCCAGCCTGGAGCAGCAGCCAACGGGCAACGGTGCTGACTTTACGCTTAATGACTATATCGATGAGAACAAAATACCGCAGGCATCCGTGGATCCGGAGCAAGTTATGACCAATCTGCATGGTAAGTGAATGAGTCACAAATGGTTCTTCATTTTCTCACTTTCCCTTCCCTTCTCGTTGTAGATCCCCAGAAATCAATCGCTGTTGTCAATGAGGTGCACAAGGCTTCTACCTTGGCAGACAACACAATTATCATCATTGCCGTAGTGTCGTTTATGGCATTCTTTTTGGGTAGCATAATGGGCATCAAAATAAAGCAGTGGTGTAATCAAACCCGATTGGATGCCAGCCACCACAATCACTTTGGCAAGCCGATGTAAGAATTAACCTCGCTGCAAACTATATGCACAAACTATTCATATCCATTTCTTTCTTTCTTTTTATTGCAGTCAATTCAAGCATCAAAATAGCGGCAAGGACATTAATTTGCTAATCAATTCGAATCCATATACCACAACACAGAAAACACCGAATCTCGATCTTGAAAAAGATCGCAGTCACGAATGCAAAAATTCCACAGAACATTTGGAAAAGGAGCTGCCTTGCAAAACGTCCACTCTGACAAAAGTGAAGCGCACTTATATATGAGTAGGGAAACATCATCAGTTTTTTTGATGGCCAGTTTACCACAAAATTAGTCGAATTTTCGTTGTTTATGTTGATGTTAGTTGTAGTATTTCCCCGCCCCGATCGGACGTATCAGCAGTTTTTAATTGGCGCGTTTGAAACGCGTCTTGGCGCATCCGAAACTGCTGTGCTTATATTTAGTTACCTTTTTTTTGTCAAGGTTTAGTTTAATTTATCGCTTAAGCGTAGCGTCGTGTGCTACAGCACACAGATAGTAATGGCAATAACATTAATTTAACATTGTCTGAACGCGCGACGGCACGTCTGTTTATGTTTATTTGATAGTATAATTTGTAAGTGCAAAACTTAGAGCTTAAACGAATTGCATATCACATGTAGAAAACTGAATCGGGCTACACAAAAATTGGCTAGTATGTTTTATTGAACAAAAGTTTTTGGTCATGCCCAAGAATATTGAACCCACCCATGAATCAAATATTTTTTCTCGAAATTCAGACGATTATTATTCTGTACAAGTATTTTGTTAGACTGAAAGTTTTTCTATTTTCTTTATAGTTTTTCCATGTGCATGCAACAAATGCGATTTAATTATAAACTTTCTGTTTTTGTGGCTAAGCAATGCAATATAAATTGTATCTAACATAAAGCTCAATAAGGAATTGAATATAAGAGAATGTATTTTTGTAATATTATATAATACGATCTAGACTTAAGCAACCCAAAACGATTATTTAACGTTTAGTTCTGCGGTCAAACATAAATGAGGCTGTTTCGTACGAACTGAGATCCCTTGACACAGCAGCCCTTAAAATAAAATGAAAGAAATTACGCACAAATAATTATAGAACACGCCTTAAAAACAAAAAACAAAAAATACAAACAAAAAAATATATATAACAATCAATTTATATGCCTATATTTAGGGCCTTAAATGTAAAGTAAAATATTTAGACTAAGCATTAAAATAAATTTATACTTGCTTGCATGTATTTTAAAGCAGAATCAGCATTTTATATGTTTATGTTTATCGTTTAAGATGTTGTCCGTCCGTAACAAATTCGAATTTTTTATAAAATAATAATCATAATATATTTTTATATGTAATTGTATCTAAAAATTTTAATGTCTAAGTACAATTTTAAGCATAATGAAAAAGAAAATATTTTACAAAAAAAAAAAAAAAAAGAATTTTATAAATCAGCAAAAAAAAAAAAAAAAAAAAAAAAAAAAAACAAACAAAAAAAAAAAGAACATGTCTATATATGAATACATATTTAACAAAATATTAAGGATCAGGAAATGGTTGTGCTCGATGACTCGAATAATACAACAAAATTTTTATAATCTTATCACAATCGAGCAATACCACATCCTGAAATTCTCATATTGTGATAGATTTTATTGAACTTTTTAATGAAAAACAAAATGTATATGCCTTTTAGGTTGAAAAACAATAATATATGTGAAACGGAGTCTCTCTGCATGCAAATATTTTCAATTGAACAAAATATAAATTTTATAAAATATGTGTATTGTACTTGATATATTGTTGTAAAGGCATTCAATGAGCTATGCTAAATTTAATAAAGTCGTCATTTTTAATACGAATTGCAATGTTTTTTCTTACTACTTTTACTTAGTTATTTCTTATTATGTTTGATCTGAATTTTTCTTGTGTTTTATATATACCTGAATAGGAAACACACTAAAAGAATTCGTAAATAGGTATGTGAGTGCACTCAGTGAGTGGGTCTTTTAACAGTGCTTAGCGGACTGTTATTAGCATTTTTCAACTTCCTGTTAAACTCCACTAGCTCTCTTACAGTAAAATGTTAATAAGTGCACAATTGATTTTCTGGTATTTTTTATTTGTAATCAAAAATGCCTTATGAACTTGGTCACACTGTTGTTGAGTGTCGTTCATTTCCTGTTCGCTTTCTTAGGGATTGAGTTGTATATTCTCTGTAATCTGAAATTATTTTCCGCATCGAAAGTTTTTATACAATTTTTGTTAATCTAAAATATTTATGAATATGTGATCTATACAATAACATAAGCATTAATATGCTTTACGTAAAATTTAACTGAAAATATGGTAAGTGGCGTACTTACTTAGAACATAATATTAATGTATTGATGAATGTTCTTTTTCTGAAGAGTCGAATGCTAGTGCCTTTGCAAAAGGGTTTCTAGCGTTCTTATCTTGTAGAAAGAATAAGAACGGCCAACTGATTGTTTTATTGCAAATATTTCTGTGCAATTTATGCTCTTTGCATGCTAACGTATCTTTTTCATTTTATTGCAGCTGCCACATTTTGTTGCACGCACACGTGCTCAGAAGCCGGTATGTGAAAAATATATTCATTGAGGTAAGTCTTAAAATGAAATTGATAAATTTACCCAAGTGTCTTATGATGATAAGTTCAATCTGAACAAAATGCTGTGTTGTCTCTTAACTAAAAATTAAACCAAAAGGATACTGATAATAATAAAAATAAATTTATAAATATGACTTAGCTTTGAAAATTTCCTCACATAAGTTTTATTTCTTTGTTACAGACAATGCTGTACGCACGTGGTTGCAAATCAGTAATGAAAATCCCATAGGTGAGTAGATGAAAAAGTGTTTTAAACTAGAGTGTTGCCTGATGATAAGTTCAATCTGAACAAAGTGCTGTTGATTTATAACTTAAAATTAAACCAAAAGGATTCTGAAAAATTACAATTTAAATAGAATAGTTGATTGACATAATGCGTGCAAAAGCCTAAACTTATTTTGTATTGCTCTTTTCAGATTTCTTGGACGACAAACTTAACTCTTGGCACAAGAAGCTTGATTGATTGTATGGTAAGTTATATTAGGCGAACATATAATAAAATTATATTTAAATGATGAAATGTAATTACCGTACGATTTCTGTGATTAAAAACCCCATGGCTGCATTATTTGCAACTGATATAAAATTATTGTAAAAAAAATGTTAAATGTGAGGAATTATGTTACTTAATAGTATTTCTTTTTTTTTTTAGGATTTGATTAAGAAGCAGTTGAACACTGAATGGCATTATTGGCAACCGCTAAAATGTAAGTAAAGAAAAAATTTGGAAATATTTAAATTGTGTTTTCGAAATGATGAAAGTAATTACCGTATGATTCTTGTGATTAAAAACCCCATGGCTGCATTTTTTGCAACTGAATGTTAAACGCAATTCAAAGATTGTATAAACTGAAAATAATATAACTAATTCATGATATTTTTCTATTTCAGTTCTGCAAATATGCATACAGTAAAATATTCCTGTGGCACGTTAAGCTAAGGTATGTTTCAGTCTATTTTTGTCAGCCTCAGTAAATCATTTGCTTAAATGATGAACACTTTTTATCTATAATAACTTTCGTTCTACTGAGTAGAAAATGCGGAGAAATATAACTGACAAATGCATATAAAATATTTGCTAAAATGTCTATCAAATTCGTAATAACTAAATGAACTCTTGCTTTTACTTATCAGGATTTCCAATGGCCGCTTGCATCGGGGGGGAAACATAGAGCTTAATATAGAGGTAAATATTTAAATTAACTTTTGTTCTTTTAAAAGGCTTCATCTTGATGATAATTTTAATCTGACAACTATGCTGAGTAAACAAACGAATTAAACCAAAAGGATACTGATAAAATATTCAATTACAAATTATATATATAATCTAGCCTTGACTTGCATCTAATCTATGCCATTATTTACTTGCAGTACCTCCGGGAATGGAACTCTCTAGAGGGGCCTCTTCTTACATAGAGTCTGCGCCAAGGTATGTCTATATTTTGCCATATCCTATACAAAAACTTGGAAAACTCTTCATGATGTATACTTCTTAGTATAGTTCATTAGAAACAAACATGTTACAAACTTTTGAAGCTGATATTTAACAATTTATAAGTCAAGAATAAGTTAACTAAATTTAGACTAAAATTTCAACTTTTCAATTTGCAGATTTGGATGTCAACTCGATGTAAATTTTAGTGGACTTACTCAAAGCTTCAAGGTATGTTTAATTAATTGATATTGCATTTCAATGATAAAATTTTTTTTTATCTGATGAACTATCCTTATTCAGGATTCCCTCTTCTGAGTAGAACCCATTAAAAACCATGCGGTCAACTTTCCCTGTCTGAATAAAATCCTAAATTTTATTATTTAATTTATGTATTTTAAACGAAACTAAAATGAATTTTCTTTATTTACAGCTCTAACTGCGCTTTGTCATCGATATGCAGCTATTGGAGTCATGTTGGACTTTTCAAAAAAGTAAGTTTATTAGATATTTATAGCATAAATTATACATTGCCTGATGAACTATCCTTATTCAGGATTCCCTCTTCTGAGTAGAACCCATTAAAAACCATGCGGTCAATTTTTCCCTGTCTGATCAAATTTTAAAAACATAGCTTTCCATGCGCAATCCAACAAATTGTTAATAATTTACAAACTTTATATTTGCAGCTGTCTATATCTATTTGCAACTTTCGATATCCTGCTCAACTTTGAAGAGGTAAGAAAGAATACCTTAGTAAATTTTTAGTCGTATGTCTTTAATATGATGAAAATTCCCTTTTGGGATTTAAGGCCTGAGTAATTAACACCATGCTGTTTTATCTTCTTTCCCCAACTGATATATTAACAATTATTGTAAGCATTATTTAATCTGCAATATAAATTAATTTTCTGTTTTTCCTTTCAGATTACAATTAGCCGGCTGACAACTGAATGCTTATAAACTATTTATGAGTGCAACTGAATAAAAAGCAAATGACAAATACAAAATTACAATTTTAAATTATGTTTTTTATTCTTAAGCCACATTCACTTGAGTTCGCCACAGGCGTAGATAATAATCTTTTGGGAGGGGGTGCCAGATTTGTTTCCACATTTCTCCATTTTACGTACCACGTCTGCGCCGCTGATGACATGGCCAAAGACCACGTGTTTGTTATCCAGCCAGTCAGTCCTGTAAAATATATAGAGTATTATCATCTGAGTAGTTATACCTTCGGAAAATCTTTACTTTGTGGTGCATATAAAGAACTGTGATCCATTTGTGTTGGGTCCTGAATTGGCCATGGATAACGTGCCAAAGCTGTTGTGTTTCAAATTGAAATTCTCGTCGGCGAATTTCTTGCCATAAATGGATTTGCCACCGGTGCCATTATTGTTGGTGAAATCTCCGCCCTGACACATCTGGAATTTAAAAATATATACCTCGAATAATTATGCCCTTCATAGATGCAGCTGCAACTTACGAATTCGGGAATGATGCGATGAAATGTGCAGCCTTTGTAGCCATACCCCTGCTCGTGTGTGCAGAGCTGCCGAAAGTTCTCCGCTGTCTTGGGCACCACGTCGGCGCGCAGTAGCATGACAATGCGTCCAGCATCGTTGCCCCCAATACGTATGTCAAAGAACACCTGTGGATTTCGTTTTTCCGATTTCTCAATCACTGCAGGCCCTGTTGAGGGCGTTTCTATCGTTTCCTTTGGCGCCTCAGCCTCGCCACTCTCTGCCGCTAATGTGGCTCCCGCGTGCTTTTGCAGCCAGTCGTCATCCGCCCAAACCGGCTTAAAGCTGTCCTCCTTGACGCGTACCGGCTTGGCTAAATTGACACGTATCGTGCGGCCGCACAGCTCTGAATCATTCTAAAATAAAGAGCGCATTAACTGATTGCTCTGATAAACTAAATGTTTGTACTGACCATGTTATCAATGGCGGAGGCAGCATCTTCGTAGTTCTCGTACTCAATGAAGGCAAATCCACGATGTTTTTGCGATTCGTAGTCGACCGGCATTTGAATGTCCGCAATATCGCCAAAAGGTATAAATGCATTGTTCAGCAGCCTTTCCGTGACCTCATCGGCTAATCCACCAACATAAACAGTCCGTTTGTCATTTGACATTATTCACATAAACGTTTATGTTTTCAATTACTTTTGCAAATTGAATGCGCCCAGCTGCTGCAAAGGGCTTACTGTTTATTTTTCTAGCGAGTTGGCAGCAACACTTCATGCAGAGCTGCCAACTTTTAGAAGCTATTCGCCGAGTGGCAGCATTGGCATAATGTCAGCGCGCGATTTATGAGTGTTATCGATTTTTTAAATTTATGTATATGCAATGCTTGTTTAACAGTAGTTAGTAAACAATATTGAAATAGGTTTAATTAACTTTCTTTCTCTTTAATTCGACGAAAGTTTTAATATAAATAATTGTAAAAAATATGTATTTATACAGATTTTTTCATTATATATATATTTGTTATAAATTATAATTATTAAATAATGTTACGTAAGGAAAGATTCACTACTACTGCATATTCCATCTGCTGCCGCACATTTGATATTATTAAAAGTGTCACTTATATTCGTGGCAGCTGGCGGGATTAGAAACCCAACCAGCCTTAGGCAATAGCCGGGCACATACGCATACGAGGCATACAGAATAAGAGATATGCAACTGCCAAGGAGTATGTCTGCAATTATAATAATACAAATTACGTTAATGTAAATAGTAAACTATAAATTTCCTATATGGCACCATTTCGCGCAACAGTTAGTCATAGTCTCTATGACGGACAAATACTGACCGAAATAGATAAGATACAACTTGCTGCCGTGAGAGCGACAGGGAGAGTGAGAGTTGGTGGAATGGATGACAGCCATCAAGTTAATGATTGGTAATCGCTGATTAATAGCTGCACTCATGGTAAAACTACTTACGGCAAAACACCTTCTCCCATGGCTCGCAAATAGCTATCTGAGTGTTTAGCTCATACAGGCTGTAGAGCCAGAGCACATAACGCTTGAATTTCGCAAATTTCTCAGCCATATTCAAAGGCATGGCGATACCATAGCCGACGATGGTACAAAGTTCGGTACACGATCTAAACGCACGGAAGGTGCGCAATGAACTAAAACTGAACTGAACGGAACATGGGCAAATCGGGTAAAGAAAGAAACCACAAACCACAAACCACAAACACGCCACAAAGAACGTTATCGTAAAATGTTTGTAAATCGAGTTAAATACTTACTTTCCCGCTTTCCGTACAGCGAGTGATAAAGAATTTGTTTTTATTGATTAGCGTTTGTGGGCATTATCTACGAAGACAGCCGGCTCACCGAGTTTCGTTATCAACAACCGAACATTGACGCTATTTACACCGCATTGATTCACGTCGAGTCAATCAATTAGGCGACCAGTGGCACTATTGACAGCAGAAACACCCAAACGGATAGGACATCGTTGGCATAGGCATTAATGTGCACCGCCACACAGAACTCGACGGCCGCATTGTTGTTGTAGTGTATGCAGCTGGTGCGAATGCGCTCCGATATCGCCGACAGGTTGGTGTAGGCAAAGTTTATGGTAAAACCATAAAGCTAAACAAATATAAAGATAAAATGCAAAGAGTTTGTTAATAAATTGCTAACTCATTTTCAGAGAAACACCACACACACACACACCCTATAGTTGGGAAACTCGCGCTCCAGCTCCTCACTGAAGGCCGGCTCATCGTAACGATTGCCTGAGAGCGTGCTCAAACTTTCCATTTCATTCAAAATTCGCAGCAGGTGTGGCTGAAAGGCACTAAAGGAAATCACAATCGATTATCAGTTGGCTACTGGCTATTGGCATATCTTTATACCCACCGATTCCACAATGTTTTGCGTGTGGTGCGCCAGGCGCTTATCTTTTTCATAATCTTGCGCTCGATGTGCTTCTGTAACTGACTCAGGTGATAGCTGCGCTTGTAAGCATAGTTACGTTTCTGGATGCCACCGTGGGGCGCCTGCTGCCGCTTGGTGAACACCGGCAACCAGCATTCGCTATTCTGCACATCGAAATCCGTCATGCTGACGCGCTCTTCCGCCTGTATATTGATAAAGATCTGAACGACAAATGGTTTTATTTTTATTATTGTATGATTCATGCACAGCTCAGCTCACATTCTGTGCCGTCACCAGCGAGTAGACACGTGTCAGCGGACAAAAGACATCCTGAAGCTGATAGCGTTTGCCAGTTGTGGGCGCCACTAGGACCAGTTCGCCGCTGTCCGGCTGTCGGTAGATGACGAACGTGGACTCGCCATAGGGACAGGCCAATCCCAGCAGCAGCCAGCACTCGAGGCCCAATGCCAGCATATAATTGCACAGCAGCACGCCCAGATCCTTCACGGAACACCAGGTGCTATCCAGCAACGTTTGGTTGTTCAGCCAAACGCCTTCAAAGCTCTGGCACCCATCCAGCGAACTGCGCACCGGAGTGAGCAGGGAGACAAAACGACAAACACGCTCCAGCTGCGACTCGCTGGGCAGCGACACCGGCTCCAGCAGACGTGTGAGGCACACGCGTTTGCCATGCGACGTGCATATCAACGGCTCCACATATCGTTGGGGATGTGGCAGTAGCGGTTGCACCTCCAGGCGGCGCTCGCGCAAATATTGCTGCATTTGGGGCAGCTCGGCACAGGCCAGGCCGCCAATTTGCAGTGGCGTCAACTGGCTAGCCGGCTCCACGCTCAGATAGAACCAGAGATGCACACTCTCCTTGAACTCCGGATATTGCTCCACCGATATATTGGTCACCGAATCAATCAGCGGCCTCTTATAGCCGACCAGCACCTTGGGCATGCACAGCTCGATGCATCCCTCGAACTGCAAGGGTATATATTAGTGATCCAGCCAGTCAAGTAGTAAACGTAGTCAAGTCCCTCCACTCACCTTGCGACTGGCCAAGAGACTGCTAATGGGCACCCGATATTCCCCCAGCCAGTTGCATTGCACGCGCTGGTAGAGATCGGATGCCTCGTCCGTGTATTGCTGCTCGATCAGTTCGTCAAACAGGCTGATCTTCAGATCCTCGCGCAAATCGCTGAGCTGACCCGTCAGCTGCAGCTGCAGATGCTCATTCCATGTGGGATTCGAGCCCTCTGCGGTGCGACTGCGACACAGTCTCTGGCCATAGCTTAGTGTTATAAATGGACGCACATTGGAGTACATCAGCGCTGCAACATATGGAAATATCAATTTGTAATTACAGGGTATCTGCCAGTCGGTCAGTCTGACTGTGCTTTCATCTACGATGTTGCTTATTTGTCATTAGCGATAGCTGATAAGATTAACTAAATATCATCAATATCATCAGCTTATATATATGAGATTAAGATTTAATTCAAGCTCTGATATTTCCGACAAAGAATCGGAACAATGATGGTTGGCATGGCTAGCAATAGTGCAGCTCGTCCTGGTGGGAGCGACTGAAGGACTGAGGACGTGGATAGACTGAACGTTACACAGTTATCGTGCTAACATGGTTAGTCCAAAAAATATCGAGGGCTTTCAGCACTACGGAATCTTTCAAATTGGTTAACAATATTGATGCAAGTCTAAACACGTCTGCAATGTAGAGTGCTCTCAACTGATATTGAACGATATTCAACCCTCGCTCGACTGCGCAAGGATAATACGCAAGGATAGGAAACATGGCTGGAGTGCCTGGGCAGTGGGAGAAGTTCCTACACCTGTAGGAGCAGCTGGGAGTAACCATGGAGGTGCAGTTGAACACTAACCATGCGATAGTTCGTGATTTCAACTAACGTTCGAAATGTATAAAATTAAAATTATTATTATTTTTAAATAAATATTGATTTCAACTCATTATGATTGCTTAGGAAATCATAACTTGCAAATAACTGTTAACTGTTTTATTTTCTACACTCTGCTCACGAACACAACACTCGCTCTCACTCTCACCGTGAGTGAGACTTCGTTTCTTCTCTTGAGTGCATTGCGTTGAGCTATTCGTGTCACGACCTTTCAACGAGCATCGTGAGCGAGCGATACGATTGACGTTCGCACAATGAGACTCAGTAAGTGAGAGATTGACTGAAAGACTCAATGCAGCACGCTCTTCATTGTTTTTTTTTTTTTTTTTTTTTATTAGATTAAAAGAACAATTTTTTTTTTTTTGTAGATTAAAAGAACAATTTTTTTTTTTTCAAACAACAACATTCAGCCAAACGGTCGGGGAACACCCAGAGCAAAATAGAATAAAGAACTGAAACGGTTAACAGTTATTTGCGAATTATGCAGGAAATGGGAAATACTTTCTATTAGACAAATTACTCTAGAGTAAGGGTTAGCCGAAAATGATGTCTACACCAACGTGGGCGTGGCAAATCGGCGTCAATGCCATTTACATATACACATACATATATAGATAAATAGGCTTCATAGCAATTACTAAGAGGCACTCTTAAGAGATACGAGGTAATATGTATAATTTTTCGTCTAGCCTCGTTTGTTTTTATTGTTATGTATACCCTGAGCCCATTGAAAATGGTAAATCAGGTTATAATGGGTTTAGTAAAATCGTTTTCTTCTATATATGCATAAAAGAAGCTCTTGGAAGCTGATACTCTGATACTCTGATCATAGTCGAGCAGATCCAAAATTTAAAAAGGGGCAAACTTTTGCATAGCTCCAATACATTTTCTTGTTGCCGAACGACAGATTGTTACGAACGATAGAGGCTAGCCTACAAGATGCGAGCAGAATATTACTCATAGTTCTTTTTTTTTATGAAGCTTTAGATAGTGTATCAATGTAAGTGATAAGGGTAAACTACATACACTATGTATATTTAGACATTTGCAATTGCGAATTATTTATTAGTAAATGGCCAAAGAATGCGGTTGGAGCACATATGTAAAGTCAAAATGCAGGCTCTGCAGATATCGAAGGATGTGATTGTATCCTGGTGGCAGTCGGAAGATAAAATGGAGGATATGCGAAATTTGGAGTGTGAAAAATTGGTCAGGGAAATCTGTGGAGTTGCCGTCGAGTGTGTCGAACAAATGAAGACGAAAATTGACTGGAGCGATGAGACAAATAGAACTAATGAAACTTTAGCCAAAAGCGAAACTTCCGCTTGAGTGTAGTGATCTCACAAGCCCCAAAATCTGGGGATTTCAAATTTTTCAGGTTTACTCGTACATGCCATACGCACTATGGGGTTTTTTTTAAGAGCTGAAGATTTCCGTTTTAAGCATATGATTGTATGCTTTATTTCATCTGCTTTAAATTATCAGAAATATATCAGTATATCAATAAAGTAGATTAGATTAGATAAGATAGTCCGTTAAAACTTTGCAAAATGTTTACTTGTTAATAAATGTTTAGTATTAAATAGCACAATGGCGGGGAAGGATCTAAGCAAATTTATAAATGAAATACGGCAAATAATGAAGCATGCTTCTGTTCTAGTGCTGAAGACGGATGCAACTTTGAAACAAATGATGGACCTGGACCGCTTTACAGTGAAAAATTATGTTGAGAAGAATTTTATTGACAAAATTACTCAGGAGGTTGACATTGAAATGAAGGGAAAAAATAGACCGAAAGCAGTTAAAGATCAAGATGATGAAGAATTTGAATTGCCTCTTTGGGTATTGTGCGACATGATCGACATCAATGTGGAAAAACAAAGAATCAAGGATCAAGCTGAAGCTGAAGCAGGAAATAAAACAGAATGTGACGAAGTGGAAACAGGAAATAAAAGAGAAGGAAATGACGATGTGAAAAACAAGAGACCTCGAGATTTTCGATAAACTCAATAAGTGCTATTACCAATTATTAATAATGATAACAAAATATTCCTATTCCCTTTGTTAATAACTAATATTGCTAATAAAAATAAAATGGAGTATGTCATTGTTTATACCCTGAATCCATTGAAAATGGGAAATCAGGGTATAATGGTTTTGTTGAAATGTATGTAACAGGCAGCAGGAGGCGTGGCAGACCCCACAAAGGATATATATTCTTGATCAGGGCGACGAGCTAAGTCGAGTTTATCATTAAAAATTGATAGCTCATCCCGTTACTTTTTTTTTATCGATAAAAACCCTTATCGAAAATCAGTTATAAAATTATATCTCCTACATCTTTAAAGATAGAGTCTCCAAATTTTAAATGTATACTTATATGCATTTTATACAGTTTCGGTTTTTGTTCAAATCTACCCGTATAGAGAACAAGCAAAACTAGATCTACCTCTCATTCCTTGGTGAATTTCGTGATGAATTCAAGTCTATAGCAGATAGATGCTATAATATTAATACATTCTGTCAAATAAGTACCCGGAAATTCTCATTTTAAACTTTCCCTTTATAAAATATTTTTAAACAAAATTTTTCCCAGGTTGGCACAACCGTTAGCCACTATTCTGTGAATTTTTAATGCTATATGTCATTTAGTTTGGTTACGGCGTCATTAGTAACAAGTCAACCTACTACTACTATGGATAAAAATATCTAATAAAACAAAACAAAATTTCTTATGCCAAAACGTTGGAAATGTTGAAAAAAATATTTGGTGATACAACCATGTCAAAAACTCAAGCTTACGTTAGGTATAAATCGTTCAAAGAGGGGCGTGAAGAAGTGAACGATTTTTGAGGCGTTATGAGGCGTTTGAGAGAGAATGTTCGTCGCAAAAGATCAGATTTGTGGCGGAACAACAGTGTTTTATTTGAAATTTCCGGGTACTTTTTTGACAGAATTTATGATATGTTATATGCCAATGTCGATAGAAATAATCTTTCAATCTGACTAACACTAAACAATACTTGATAGCTTTCTTTGCCTAAAATGGTTTATAAATAATTCGAGACTTCCGGTCTTGATTATTTTGGGTATATTTCTCAGAGAGAAAGAGAGAGCGCGCGAGCGAGAGAGAAATATATATATAGAGAGAGGTATATAGAACAATATGACCGCACCCAATCGCACAATCGAACAGCTAATTATTAGGCTCGCTCATGGAGTCAAAAGAGTATATGGGTTTGTCTGCAGTTTTCGTATTGCTGTTTGCACTTTGTTATATACATATACATAAATCATTCCTCCGAATGGGCGTGGCGATAAGGAGAAAACTATAATGTATTTCAGCCGCAATTGTTTCTAATCTTGCAGGGGAATCAGCTCCTTTATAGCTCCACTGAGATGATCCATCCATTGGCTTTGAAGCGAAAGAGCATTGTGTAGTCGGTTACGCTTAAGTACAATAATCGAACTTTTTGTGCGCACCGATAGAAACACATACATAAATATACATATATATAGAAGCCCAATATTTTTCGGCCGAGTTATAAACTTCATTGGCCGCGCAATGCCAACGATGGATGGTAAGCTTAAGTGGTTCGCTCTGCTGGCATCGATGCAGCTTGTCCTGTTGGGCACGGCTGAAGGACAGAGGACATTCAATCGCTGTACTCTTGCACTTGAATTGGATAGACTGAACGTTCCACGGCAAGAAATACCCAGATGGGTTTATATCGCACAGGAGGTGAGCAGCTATCGGGCTAACGTGGTTAGTCCAATAGATATCAACGGCTTTCAGCACTACGGAATCTTTCAAATTGGTGAACAAGATTGGTGCAAGTCTGCAAAGGGAACTAAAAACATCTGCAAGGTGGAGTGCTCTGAACTGATAAAGGACGACATTCAACCCTCGCTCGACTGCGCAAGGATAATACTTAGGGAACATGGCTGGAGTGCCTGGGTAGAGGGAGAAGTTGATGTGAACGATTGCTTCGAAACAAGTGCCCAAGATAGAAACGCAGCTGCACCTGCACCTGCAAGAACAGATGGAGGTGGACCAAGAGAAGGAACTAAAGCTGAAACAGGAAATGAAACAAAATGTAACAAAAGAATTCGAGATTATCGATAATTTCAAAAAGTGCTACTTGTTAGTATAATTGTTATTAATAATAATAAATACATGCATATATGTATGTGTTACTACATTTAATTGGGATTATGCAGATTTGTCTTGGGGATCTTGGAGATGTCGAGTGATTGCATAACTATATAATATTAATACAGGATATTACTAATATTATATATTATATGTCAATATCGCTTGCATGTGCCTAGAGTAATCAATAGATATCATCTTTACGGTTATAATCTTCCATGAACTAATATTTATAGAAATGACCAAACTCGAGACTTCCAGTCGCGATTATTTTGGGTGTATTTCGGAGAGGGAGATATATATATATATATAAGATAGGACAATATGACCACACCCAATCGCACAATCGAACAGCTAATCATTAAGCTCGCTCATGGAGTGTAAAGAGTATATAGGTTTGTCTGCAGTTTTCGTATTGCTGTTCGCACTTTGTTATATACATATACATATATCCTTTCTCCAAATGGGCGTGGCGATAAGGAGAAAACTATAATGTATTTCAGCCGCAATTGTTTCTAATCTTGCAGGGGAATCAGCTCCTTTATAGCTGCACAGAGATTATCCATCCATTGGCTTTGAAGCGAAAGAGCATTGTGTAGTCGGTGACGCTAAACTGCAATATTCGACAGCTGCCTACGGCCATGTTGCACAATTCAAGTTCTAGCTTGTCTACAACGTATATAAGCAACCTACATATGTATATGCATATATATAGGCAAGTGTTTAATTTCTGGGCTAGGCCCATCGAACATCCATCGACTCATCTGCAGGGAAGCAGATTCACTTACTCTGGGTAACGAACAGACTGGCGCTTAGATCGCTGTTTGTGCCGGCGCTGTTCCGTCGTCGTCCCTGGTGCTCCACGTTGAGGATGTGGCGACTGCGCACTGGCACACCCGTGGCACGCACTACATGCAACGAGACAGTGAACTGTTGCAGCTGTTGATTCGGGGCACACGTCGGCTGGGGCTGCCACAGGGGCGGCTCACGGCTGGGACTGTTGGCCGCTTGGCGAACAAAAATGGAGCAGAGTGCACGCCAAACTGTTGACCAGCCCATTGTATGCTCTGTGGGGGAGCCATCGCTCCACAGCTGGAGCAGCGGCAATGGTGTTTGAAGCAGCTTGGCCCGTTGTGCGCACTGGTTCATTATGGTCTCGTATAGCAGGTGAAGAAACTTGCGGCCTCGATGCTTGTGCAGATCGATTGGATGCCAAATGGTGCCCGGATCTAGCAATTGGCCAACATTCGCATTGGGTCCGTGCTCCTCCAGCTCAACGATTTCATGCGCCAAAGCAGGCACAAAACTCAGCTGTTTGGTGTGAAAATTGCGCTGCTGATGGCGCGAATAGAGCAGCTGAAATCGCCTGTTCTGGAACAGTTCCTCGATGCTGCACAACAGCAACTGCTGCTCGGCAAAGATGAGCGGCGCATGCCGTGTCCCTGCATCGCTGCCTCCGGCCGCAGACGCGGACAAACTTTTCGCCAGCAACGTTTGCCTCAGTGCCGGCGGCAGCGGCTGCACATCGTCCAGCTCATTGCTGCTGCTGCCGCCATCAGGACAATAGTAATCAATGTGCACATAGAGATCGCCGGCCAATTTCGGGCGCGTTGCCGATGATGATGTCCGCGATGATGTCACCTCGAAGCTCAGTTTCTCCTCCGATCGCCCCCTTTGAGTCGCTTGCAACGGAGTATTTATCAGTGCCAATCGGCGACTGTGCGCAGTTATTGTCGATTTCTCATACAGCTATATTTATGCATAGAGGAAGGGGGGAGAGGGAGAAAGGGAGAGCTTAATCAGTTTGTGCATTTGTTTAAAAAAAAAAAACAAATTTTGGCATTGCCAGCGGTTTCTGATACACACACATACATACACATATGTCCTATATAGATGGGTGCATATGCATATATGTATGTACATATATACCTCTATATAATAATAATCATAAATGGCTATGATATAATAATATATACTATATATGCCGAGTCAACCGTAATCTCGGTTCTTTTTATACCCCATTATAGCCCATTGAAAATGGGAAATCTGTGTATAATGGTCCGTCGGTCCCTCCGTCCGTATGAGCAAGCCGATCTCATACTCGTGTATACCATAGGCAATACAAGTTTATCTTATTTTTTCGATAGCTCATTCGAATAACTATTCGAATATCAGCTTGGGGGGTTCAGGGTATCTCCTAGTCGAGCAGTCTCGACTGGAGCCTTGTTACTTGTTTTATATAAATTAGAGAAGTTCGTTCTGTTATGTCCAGTCCCTGGACAGGAGCTGATTCTTCGCCTGCCACGCCTCAGAAAAGAACATGACATTCTGATTTCCCATTTGCAATCACTTTAAGGGCAAATATATACATATATATTTATGGGAAGCACTTGATAGTGATTACGATTGCCATAAACCAGAAATTAATAGGGAATTTCGCAGTCAGACAGTAGCCACTGCGCTATTCATAGATAGCACAATTTACAATCCAATTGTAACTTTTATACTCATTCACGAAAGTGAAATGAGTATATTGGTTTTGTGTAATGTCCGTCTTGCTGCCCGTCCGCCTGCCCAGCTTGAAATTCGGAAGAATATGTATATAGTCCGTGCAAAGAGATTTTCTCGTTGTATCCAAGATTTGACGGATATATTTACGCTTAATAGGGGCGTGGCAAGTAACTGCATCTCTTATGATTTACACAAAAATAATAGATATACATATGTATATATACCAATTGTGGGCGTGGCAAATCGGAAAATGGGCAGTGAATGAGTATTCTGCATTATTCATAAAAAGATGATTACAATAACTAAATAGACTTACCCAAATATTGAGCTCTTTTGGATTGGAGCGATTTAGCAGCACGCCTATTGTCTCATTCATGTCCACATGCAGATCCTGTTCCAGGCGATATGTGCGCGACTGTGCCACAAACTGGCTGTCCAGGTAGATCTTCAGGTAGTAGTTGCGATCCAAGCTCAACTGATTACCGTTTACTGCTGCTGCTGCTGCTGCCGTCGCCTTGGGATCATTGGGCATTGTTTCATCCGCTGGCAGACGCTGCACAAAAACTTCCGGCTCCTCTGGATCCTGAAAGGCTCGCTCATACTCTGCCCTTAGGGACTCCATGATTTCCGTAAATCGAGGCTTACGCGGCGGTTTCGTATGCGCCGCTGTCGACTGCTCGCTGTCATTCCAAATGCGCCGCTGCTGATAGTACAGCTCCAGATGCTCGCGATACACCTCGGCCAGATCTGTCTCGAAACGCTGTTTCCACGCCGAGCAGGAGACGTCCAGATCAGCAGGCGGCACCAGCCGCAGGCTCAGGCTGAAGCGTGTGCAGCGAAACTGTTGTCGCTTGCGCAGCTCCTTCAATTTGGCCCATTCGGCGAGCAGACGCTGCAGCAGCACACGCTGCGCCCTGGACTCGGCATAGTAGCGTCTGCGCAGCTGCTGCGTCAATTGCAATTGCCGCTGAACGTGCACCGCTAGCAGCGATGGCTGCTGCTCCTTCAGGTGCTGCTGCTGCTTGCTGGCATCGATTAGGCGGGCAGCCACATTGCGAGCGATTTGTAACTCTTCGCGCAGCTTATTGCAAATCTGACTGTTCACATTGTATGCGTAGAGATCGTAGAGATCCTCCAGTTGCTGCGCCAGCCGATGCTCCTCCAGCAGCTGTGGATGTTCGCTGAAGCGCAACTGTTTCAGGCACAGCTTCAGGCAACGACTCATGGGCAGTCCGTGGAAGGTAGCCAACGGCACAGGTGCCAGGAAGACGCCTTTAAACTGCCTCGAGCAATTGCTGTGGTAGAGCGTGGTATCGATGGTGTAACGGCCCGGTTCACAGTCTGAAAGCTGCGCAATAATTCCGGCACTTAGTTTGGCGGTCGTTTTACTATATCTGGCCTCCTCCTGAAACCGATTCAGCATGCGTATCTGCTGGGGCTTCAGTTGGGGCTCGCATTCACTTAGCTGCAGTGGCAAATGCAGCCGCTCACTGGGCGAATACAACAAAGTGGAGTCATAATAATGGCGCTGTCGCTGCAGCTTACCGGACACAAGGGGTGGTTCAGCGAGTTCAATTTGTAAGAAGCTGGCCGCAGTGTATTGTGCAGGTGTGTCATCATTTGAAAATTCCGTTTTGCCAGTTGTGGCACCCACAGAATCGGTCGCTTTGGCATAGTGAAAAAACTGCAAACTGCGGGCTTCCAAATCCTCATCTACTGTTTGTTGTGCGGCGACCTTTTCACTTTGCCACAGCAACTGTTGAACTTCCCTTTCAGACTTGCGATATGCACGTGTTGTTTGTGTTTTCATTTTTTTCTTGCTGCGCTTAGTTTTTATTGAATTTGCTTCTGGCTCCATTTCGACTTATATAGGTTTGACAATAAATGAAAATAACCGTTTGTTTGGATTTTGCACAGGGTGGCATCGTTGCCTAGGTAGCCTAGTTTTATCGGCTTTCGATATTTCGAATACGACAGCTTATCGATTATTTAGAAAAAATACCAACTAGAAAATATATTTAAAATAAACGAAAAAAAAAAAATGAATCGTTAATAAGATAATTAAGCAAACAGATAAATGAAAGTAATAGCATGTCAAACATAATATGATAACCCATATCTTATCTGTATTAACAAAGAGCTTTATATAAATTTTATATAATTACTGTCAGGTAATATACCTACTGAATGAATATACATATGAATGCAAATCAATTGTTAACTGGGTTTTAATTTCTTTCAGTTTGGCACTTTGCCCCACAGCCCTCCCTCATTAAAAACGTTCAATGCCTTTTCGTTTTCCTTTTCTTTTTGCTGTTCACATACAAATACAATGCAAATTTACTTCTAATAGTTAATAATGTGGCTTCGGTCATGTTTTCTTATTTTTCTCGTATTTGTTTTTCGTGTTTTGTATATCAAGTTACAGTTGTTCGTGAGCTTGACTTTAGTTTATATAGATTTATGTGTGACGTTACTTTTGTGCTTAAGGATCGAATTTTAATGGATATTTGAATATATTGTGTGCATATGTATGTAACGCAAGCTAGTTAAAATATGTTTACGCTTATTATGTAATATTAAAGCGCGACGTGGTTTTAAAGAATGGCGTCCCGATAAATAGAGACCTTTCGGGACGTCGTCACGTTGCGTTGCTCAAGCCTTAAGACACCAGCTTTAAAAAATTGTGAAAACGGAGGGGGGATGTGGTCGCGATTGATTTGGGGGTCGTTTACTCTAGCAGGGTTACTTCTTCCTTGACTAAAAATTCAACAACTTCCTCATCAACTTCATCGGTCTCCAAATTATCCGTATCCACATCTGAAAAATGGAAATAATTAAATTACAAATAAAATTGATTGTAGTCTAAACTTCAACTTACGCCCTCGGAGCATGATGCGACGGCTCTTTTGATCCTTCCATTCCGCGATGCGCTTGTTGCGGTACTCCATGAAGGTCTCTCGCAGCTGTGCGCGCTTTTCGAGCAACTCCTTGGAGGCACGGGTCAAGCGCAGACGATCCTTCTGTTCAAATATAGGATAATATTTCTTCAAATTTTTCTTGATCTCCTTTTGCTTCTCTTCGCTAAGTAGCGTCGGTGGTCGCGGGCGCCAAAGGAACTGCACAAAGTTCTTCAAAATGGTGCGCCTGATGATGCGACCCTGGAAGGTATACATATTAAAGCCGGTATCCTCTTTCACCTTCCACGATGAGACGCCAGTGACGACATAACGACCAGTTGGATCCCATTCCACCTCCGATGCACGGAAGTGATCCGGCGATGCACTGATGATGTAGTCATTCGTGGTATCAACGAACTCAAAGGTGCCCATGGTCAGATTGGCCATGACGATGAATTGGCCACGTGGCGACCAGAACAGATGAGTGCAGGACTTCTTCTCCAGCCGCTTCACAAGGCTGGGCTTGACACCCTTATTCACCTCGTAGAAGCTAACATTGGCGGAGTTGGGCTCGCCATGTATAATGGAAAATTTATTTCCAATAGGCTCCCAGGCAAAAGCAAGAATCAGCTCACGTATTTCCACCGAATCCACGGGTATTTCCTTTTCGCGCATGTGGAATATCTCAAAATTGTAGAACATGCCCAGAAACTTGACGTCCAGCTCCTTCTTATCCTTCTTCAGCTTGGAGTAGCGATCGACCTTAACACACAGATAATCGCCAGACTTTTGCCAATGAAGCTTACAGTCGGCCACATGGAAAAGATTCTTGTTGCGAATCTCCCGCTTCTTGGGGATCTCCATCAGGGTGACACGTGCGGGTATTTGATTCTGCTCTTCCACCCAGTAAGCGATGACATTGTCCGTAGGCGACCACGAGAAGCCGCGTATGCCCGCTATCTTGATGGACTTCAAGTCAAGCAAGTAAAATGATGGCGTCTCGTAGATGTGAATCGAATTCTCGCCCATGCGTGCCACAAATTTGTCATCGTGCGACCAGCGGAACATTGATAACACAGACATGCCATCGCCCACAAACGAACGCTTCTCAGCCCCAGTGCGTATATCCCAAATGATGATCTTTTGACCCGTTGGTGTTGGGCCATAGGTTACCAAATAATTCTCACATGGCGAGAATTCGACGAACTGGGTGCCTGGATGGGGAAACTTTTGAATTTTCTGGAAGCTGCTGCCACCCCAAATGGCGACTCCGGGTTTGTGGAAGGTGACCACATAGGTGCCCAGAGGCGACCACTTCACAAACGTGTCCGTAAAACGTTCACGTGTCTCCAGCTCATTGGGTTCGGGCAGAGTGTTCTGCCAGAAGCCAACCTGCACGCAATTCGGTGCTGTCTCAGCCGCTACGCAGTACTGATCATAGGCATCGGGATCGTTTATAAAATTATACAGATCACTCTGTACCTTAAAGGGTTGTACAGTCGGCGGCTCCCACTTCTCCGGTATATTTTCATACCTAGAAAGTAAAATTTGTTATAGTTTTTGTTTTTAATTAGCTATTTGTCAACTTACTTCTGGAAGTCTGTAAACAAATTTACGGCAAAAGTATAATTCTTGTCCAGGCGATGGTTGTTTAATTTCTTGACTGCATCCTCAGCCTGACTGGCGGTCTTGAATTCCATGAATGCATAGCCTTTTGTCTTGCCCTCCTCATCCACCGGATAGACAACGTTAACGATTTCACCGCACTGCGAGAACAGCTTGTTGATAACCGATTTAAGTTTTTCCAGGCGGCTTGGCTCTACTTTCGGCATATTATCCACTACAACGACACTTTCAACACCATCGGCTTCGGATGGGCGTTGGGCCAGCATATCTCCCAATAAATCTGCCATATAATAAACATTATTGCATTTCTCATTGAAAATAATGCACTTTTTGAGGTTATGTTTGTCATCTCTTTTTGCAATTGTCGGCAATGGCTTGTAGCGCGTGTGCTGCGCTGGCAACAATCAAACTTACCTTCATCGCTAATGTTGTCCACGTAACCGGGCGGATCATCGAAATTGGGCTCCTCATTGTAGTCGCTGTCGTTTGCGTCCGCACCCGAATGCTCCTCACTTTTCTTTTTAGCCATTTTCAGCGTTTTATTTGCGAATTATATACGGCAGCCGATTTCCCGCAGTCATCAAACACACACACGCACATAAAAAAGGAAATGTTAATGTTAGATATGAGCGATAGTTACTTACCTGCTACTTGTAACAAGTATAATATTGTATCGATAAATTTGTGTACGTAATTACAAATTAACAGCGAAAACAATAACAGTTACTTAATCGAAATCAAAAATCAAGCTTTCAAGCTATTGAGAAAACACTGAAATCCTATCAACTGTATTATATTAAATTATATTTTAAGCGCCAAACAAAACTAAATCCCGCTTATTTTTAATTATTGAATAAAATAACAATTTAAAAATATTTTCGATAACGCAGAAGTAATGGGATCATTAAAAGTATGAATATATCGATATACCCAACATCGATGCAATTTTAAAGCGTTTTAAATGTTGTTATTCCTTGCCATATACACAAATTTTTATGGCAAAAACTATAATATATATCATTGTCTTTGAGCATCTGAACTTTTTGGTTTCACAAATTGCGTCGATAAGTTTTTGATTAAATATTCTTTGCTGTTATTAACAGTTTGGAAAATGTAATGTTATTGTCCAAGTTATGTTAAGTAACATATCTGTTTGGAAATTCATTCTTTTTTTCCAAACGAAGAAGTAGTAGGTGTATAATCTGCACAAATGTAATAAAAATGAAGACAAAAATCAAATATATAATTTAAGTGAACCCATTGCAATAAAAAAAAGTAATAACAGATAGCTAACCAAAACGCAAATACAAAATTTCAATGCCATACGCAGTTGCCACCTGAGATCAGAATTGCTTTTGTCTCCAAAGAGACAGGTTGTAAAAAAGTGCAGAGAATCAAATAAATTGACACAAAGTAATTGGTGAAATGTGTGTGCCATTGCAAAAACGTGATAAACGGCATAAAATGCGAAAAGCTGTTATCCAATAGAGAAAAATTCCGATACACCATGTCTCCCCATCTCTGCTCCGTACGCATCCGCGCCCGCACCTGCCACCTCCTTCACGGTCGTTATGCCTGTGCGCTAAGTCAAAAATCCAACATATACTAACCTAAATTCGTAGTGCAAAAACGAAAGGAAAAGGAAACGAAGTAATGAAATAAAATGAAACAAAAGCAGCCGAAATGCCATAACAAACTGTTAACAATACCAAAATGCTACAAAATATGTATTTGTTATGTTATTCCAAGTGATATACTTGAATGTGAATATTATATATGTATGTCAAAAGCTGCAGGATAGGCAATAAAACGAATATATGTTATATATACATCTATGTATGTATTTATATATACTATGTGTATACATGGAGAAATCGCCCAAAAAATGTTCTACCTCACTTTCTGCGTGGCTGAGTGTGTGTGTGTTACCTTTTTTTTGTATATGCGCAAGCGACGCTCTCATAGCAAGCAGCAAGTGAGAGTCTAAGAGAGCGAGTGGTCCAAAACGCAGAGTGCGAGAAAGAGAGAGAGAGGGAGAGCTACCAAAGCGCCTGTAGCCTTGATAAAATATATGAATGAAATTTTCGTTTTCAACGCAAAGTGTTTTTTTGTTATTAGTTTTCATGCTTTGGCTATCTATAAAATCTAAAGCTTAAAATTGAAATTAATGTTGTCCATGCCACTTGTCATGTTTACTGGAAAGTAAAAACTAACCAATAGGCGCAATAATTTTGTATACAGGAGTTTTGTTGTTGTTTTAGCTGGGGCTGGTGCGCTCTCGATTTCGATACAGGCTCAGCCTTGCGTGCGCGCTCTCTTGCTCTTTTTGAGATGATGCCTGTTACATCTTTGTTGCTTGGAAAAATTCGGACATATATTTGCTCCATGAAGTTTTTCCACAGTGTTTGTCTACACGCCCACATAGTGTGTGCGAATATGTGTGATTTTGCGAGTGTATTGAAAAACTAAAAGTCGCCCGTTCGTCGCCGTCTGCTGCTTTGCTGCTATTGCAAAAAAGAAATCGCATTTATAAAAAATGATAACATAATTTTCGCATTTAGTTAAATATAACGGGGCCTGCTCTCTCTTTGTAGTTTAAATTGTGTCTAACACTCAACGAGTTTCCAAACAGTTGCAAAGCAGTTCGAGTCGTCTTTCA